TTGACCTAATTCGTCGAATTCACGAAAATTAGCGAATCATTTTGTAGTTAAATAATGTAGTTAAATTTTATAGCTAAGACTTGAAAATTTAGGTTTCTCACATCTAGTCTACACTGTAACCAAAACCTTTAACAAATATCAATCAGAACATAGTTTTTTTTATAAACATTTTTAATTCAAATTCGGACAGAATTAATCAAAGAATAATAATTTTAGTTATTATGTCGTAATTTAAAAATGTTATTAGTTTGTTATTATTAGGGTYAGAATATTTGTAATCTCAAAAACTTAAAGAAATACATGCGAATATGCACGAAAAATTTAAATTATGCTATTAAAAGAGAATCTAGTTTGACTTTAAAATGCATCAAAAATTATTGTATAGTAAGTATCCTGGCACATAATTTTGTTATTTCATTTTTGATTTATTTCTAAAATAAAAATAAATTTAGGTATAGTAGGTACCTACTGATTTTTCACCAAGTACTATTCCGTAAATTTTTTATTAAGTCATTTTAAAGTATACAATACATRGGTTATTATCAATCAATCACTTACAGTCTACGGAATTACTTATAGGACATCCTTAGAAAATAAATAAAATAAATAAACTAAAAAACTGATGGGAATTAAAAAAGCATAATCCTGAATTTAGGTATTATTTTAAAATCTTTAAATAGACTGTGTGGAAAAAAGAATTACTATTAATTATAATACATTAAGGGAACTTATTTAATGTAGAAAGAATCGTGTTACCTAATTTAAGTATTTTCTTTATGTTACATTAAACCGAATACAAACATTTTGTAAAATACTTAAATACTATATAGTATATAGTATATCTCTCTCTCTACAGTTTCAATCCGCAGATTGGTTTGTAGCCATCTTCCATTCTTCTCTATATATAGTATATAATATATTATATATTATACATTAACTGAGATCATGACATATTTTATAAGAGTAMATATCATAGGAGCATATTATAGGGCACATCAAATTAAATACAATTTAAATTCATCAATCACTGCACTAAATATGAACTTTAACATACTAATATTAATAAAATATGTATGTATGTTGAAAAATGTGTCTATAAAAAAATTTACTTCCAATAATAATCGTATAAGTGATTTGAGGAGACCATAGTACGGATATTTGTAGCGTCTTTGATATGTACAAAATATAATACTCGAGTTATTGGATAATTAATGTCGATTATACCTTAAGGCTAAACATAATGCATAATTATGCAAATATTTCGTTGCTATGGATAGTACTTGGGATAAGGAAATAATAGATCCACAGCCTATAATAGGCAAGATCGAAAACTAAGATATAATTGAAAACAGAAGACCGATCAGCCGACTGGTTGTCAGCCATTAAAATATATTATCCGAATTCTTTTTTGATAATAGTTCAAAATCCGCAGTAGATTGAAGTATTGGACCCCTGGTCACGGGCGATTCAATAATTAAAAAATTCATCAAATAAGATATATAAATTATTAAAATAAACTATTATTATATCAATGCGGCAGTGTGTGTTAGTTAGTTTTTATTCTATAGTTACAAGAAATATGCTAGGTAAAAATTGGAGTAAAATTGCCCCGATTGTATACCTATAGTAAGAAGAGCATTAAAATGATACATAGAAATGAATATTATTTTTTTAAATAAATATATGAACATCAATTATACCTAGAAATAAATTTCAAAAAATGGTTTTCAGTTTATTTAATTAAATAAGAATATTTTAAAGATTTTAGTTTTACTATTTTTTTTTTATGTAAATTAAATAAATATTGAATTGTTTGGGCGTAACACGTGACCACCAAAAGTAGACCATTCCCTTTTCCACCAAAGGTGTATCTTTCCCTTTTTCACCAATATCCATTACCACCAAATAAGATCTACCTACCTATAATTAAACCACGGTTAATTTATTAAAATAATTTGTATACTATTACGCTTATATTAAAATCTTTAATACAGTAACAAGTTTATTTAAAATACTAATGCTGGATTGAAAAAATGATATATTAGTATGTATTTAGTTAGGTATATATTGTATCATTTGTATCTACTTATATATGTATATAATGATTGATATTTTTTTTTCAATYGTAGAATATAGTAGTATACAATTGTTTTTGTAAAAACATGGTAAATAATTTTATTTGGTGGAAAAGGGAAAGATACACTTTTGGTGGAAACGGGTATTGGTGGAAAAGGGAAAGGTACTCTTTTGGTGGAAATGGGCATCGCCCAATTGTTTTTATAAAAAATTATCTACTAACCTGATCCAAATATAATGCCCAAAATAATGGCAACACCTTCGAGGAGACCGAGTTGTTTTTTGAGCCTGACTCTATCTCCMGTTTCTTCGGGAATTGAGTCAGTGATTTTGACATTTTCWGTGGTTGCTGTATTCATTTTCTAAAGAAAAAATAAGAATAAAACATTAATAATTATTTGAAATATATAAAAACATATTTTCCRTATAATTTACTAAACAAAAAGAAGTTGATGCAAGTGTTCAAATGGTTATGAGACGTTAAAATTGAAACTGTACATTTAAAACCGTTCAATTACATAAAAATAAATTAAATAACATGTTATCATATAATTGTCTATACGTTTTATTTATTAATTCAAATAAACAAAATTTTCATAATCTATAAATGTAATACGGTTTCACTAAGGTTGCCACCCGTACTATTTTTCAAAGTATTGCATGTACTTTTTTTGAAAAAAGTATGAACGATTTTGAAACCGTTTCACTAAAACAGTTTACGTTATTAATTTACATATGCACAGTTGTCAAACCGATTTACCTACATTTCTTAATTCCTACAGCACTGCAATCTTGATTATAGGTAGTAAAAGTGTTTTTCATYAACATGCATTTTGTATTCTTATTTCTAATGCGCATTTCGAAGATGGATCAAGTAAACGGTTTTTGATAAACCGGATTTAATTAAGCCAAATTCGCTACCACCAGATTACCGGAGTTAAAAAATCTAAATAACATAGTACAAATTTAATATTTTAAACATTTGTAATTTTAACGGAATTAGATATTTAAACGAAGAATAATATGATTTTAGTTATTTTGTTGCATGTAATTCAAAAATATTTTCATAGTCATTTGACTGACAGACATACAGTTTCCCCTTATAGTTGTTTTTTGTATATGTAATGATATCTCAATAAATTCAGTTTTCAGTGTAMCKAATATTTATTTATATTGGAGTATCGGCTATCAGTAAAAAAGTCATCTCCTATCAAATATATACACAAAAAATAAAAAATGATAATTATCTGCAGATAGATTTTATACATTATGTTATCATATAACGATTAATTAATATAATATAGTACTACATAAATCATAGTATGTTATTTAAGTTAATATAATATATAAATAATCAAATAGGTATGTCATATTGTATTCATATAATTTTTTTTTTTTTATTGATCATTTACAACTTCGGCAACAAAGGCCATTAGTTCACTATATTCATATAATATTGATATTTTGTTTATGACTTGCGTTAACTTTTGTCTTTTTTTGAAACAAAATATTCGGCTAAAATTCAAATTTATCAATATTGAGTAACTATATTATTAATATACCTACATAGTACATACCTACATTTTAATTTTATTTGATAATATTAGAAAAATATTAAATGCATTAAGTAACTTAACATTTTGATTCTCATAACGAGTATATATATTTAAAACTGTTATCACTAGGTAAGTTTAAATTAGTGATATATAACGATTATACGAACATAATCGGACCTTGAATGTCTAAAACGAACATTAATAATTAGGTATATTTTTTCCCTCAGAATCAATAAATTTGCTAAAAATGTTATATAACATTCCGTCCGTATTATTTGGTGTAACAATACATTTCCCACCTGTTTTCCACTTTTAAAAGTTGAATTGAGAATACAACACACACAAGCAAAAAAATTCAATCGAGTTAGAAATGCTTAAATTTATAAAAGTATTTCGAATTTTGTTATACAATCGATCGATGAAAATGAAACATACTTGTAGATTGAGCCAAAGATTAATATTTAATCTATGATTGAGTATACAAATGTATCACTATACTATATAGTGGTATATATTTTAAATTAAATGGATGGCAATGATGGCATAGAAATGAAAATAATTAAAGCTTTTAGGCAATATTTTGTATTATTGTGTCATTGATATATATCTTTTTTTAGTAAATTTYTAGTAAAGTATACCAAAATAAGAAGGTAAAAAAAAATTAGAAAATGTGAATTGCCTATTATGAAGATTGATTGTTTAAATTCAGTTGTTATTGAGGTGCCATAAACAAGTCGTCTTCAACCTTTTTGAACTCACGACCCACTTTTTTGTCCTAAAGTTTTTGCGACCCGCGTAAGCTTTGTAAAAAAGCTAAAATTGCCTTATGCTTTGCAGTAGGTAGTACCTACAATTAAAACTGAATAAATAAAAATTACATTTTAGTAAGTAGAATATTTGATTATTACTGAATAAAATTCATATGAAAATATAAAATAAAATRAAAATATGATACAAAAGATTTAATGTGAACTTTTTCCTTTAGTGTTTTCACATGATAAATTCCACCTTGGATCAATTTAACTAAGCGTGATCCGTAAATCATCTTCAGTTACAAGTCTATTTCTGTTTTAGACGTTTTAAAATTTGCCATAGTATAATAGGACTCTAACAATGTATATTAATTCTATAAATGACACAGTTTATTTGTAAATTCTTATCTCAATATCTTATTACGTAGAATCATACCAGTGTAATATGAAACATTATACTTGATATCCATTATGATTATAATATTATTTTTTATTATTTTTTTTTTACCTTACATAAATTTATAAATTTWATTTTTATTTAAAAAATAAGATTTATCGCGTCCCAAAAATGGGTCGCGAACCACCGGTTGAATAACAYTGCCATAAATTATAATAATGCCAAAAATATTTAATATTTTTTACGTTTTTTTGGTTCCTTTGACAATACATAAACTTCACACAAGTATACAACATTTATAATTATCGATACTAATAAAGATATTCAGATAATAGGTAGTAATTTATTTATGTTTTTATACATAAAATTATAAAATGTGGTTTTACTACATGATTATATGTCCATTAATAAAATATTATTTGGTAACTATTATATTTAATGGTATTTGTTTTTAATAATGAAATATTTATTTTCCTTTTTTAATTTCTTTAAAAGGATGTGCACCCACATGTGTTGTTTCCATTTTACACACGTACGGTTTATAAAATTTTCGATCACTAATTTCAGTGGAGTGTTGTTTTGATATTATAGTGAATTGACCTATAATCAAATTTTTAGGTAAGAAAATTATCAGTGTTCYCTCGTTGACCTTCTACGATACTTAAATTTTAAAATGAGCTATCTATGAGTATGTAAAATATCAATACTTAAAATTCTCAACATTTACTTAAAAATTAAAATATTGTCAAAAAAAACAACGATAGAACATAGATAATGTTCTGAGCTAAATTTGTAGTAAAAATTCAATTCACTATATTATCAAAAATTACACCATGCCATTGAAATTAGTGAATGCAAATTTGATATTATGTATGTGAGTAAGATKGAGAAAACGTCCTCGTGAACGTCATACATGCATAGGTATGTAATGTAACCTAACCTCTAGTTAGGTTTGATTATGCATAACATAGCATATTTTACATTTAGAGTAATTCATTTCACTCAGTCATTTGTCTGAAACCAATGTTAGGTATAATACCTAATATACTTATAATTATAYTTTTATACACYTATAATTTTAAAGCAAGTTTTAGCTATAGCGGTCATAACGTATCTGATTATATATRAAATATTCAATACAGTTCATACTACTATGTATTTATTTGAATATTTGACACTTAAGTATAGAACGATACTATTGTACCTATACATATTATAATTTGAGCATAAACTTAAACTTAAATAATA